CTGGCAGCCCTGGAATATATTCCTTGGTGTTAACTCCTTGGATCCATTTCTCTCTCACTCAAAACCATTTAAGTACAGAGACCGTTTCTGGCTTGTCTATGAAATAGAGATTCTGTTCCCTGGTACCAATAGGTAGAATTCAAAAAAGAAAAATCAAAGTAACTTGATGCTTCCGGTCCTCATGGACAGGATGACCAGAAACCTGAAGCTTGTTCTTGGTCATGCTCTTTGCGTGAGTACTCAGTCAGGGTAAAAGCTTACCAAATTCCAGGCGGTTCTAGACCAGAATCTTGGAGCTTTTATCTTTCAGGCAAAGCAGGAAGCCTAAGCTTTCCTTCCTTGGTACTGTCCTCTTCCAGCACTCCGGGGGCTCTTGGGTGTGGCATTTCTGCTCCAGTATGGCACCACATGACAGCACGGGGTCCCAGGAGGCTGCCGAGGAGGCCCTGAGTGCCCTTTGTGAGATGCCCCAGCTCTGAGCTGCAGAGCTCACCTGCTGCCGAGGGTGCCGAGGGTGCATGCGCGCCAGGGGAGCTGCGCTTCCTTCTGGGACTAGGACGTGTCCCACTGGTCTCTGCCTGTGGCTCTCTGCTTTGTGACAAAATGTCGGCTGCTCACCCTGCTGTTGTGTGCCCCCTGCTGTCCCATCTCCTGTCCAGCCTCCTCCTTGCCTGGGCACAGGCTCTGCCTGAGAACTCTCGCTGTGAGCTGATGTGGTCTCTTCCTCCCTTCTGGCCAGAGCTCCCCAGAGCACGGCCTTTCTCATGACACCTTGCGTGAGGACCTTGGTCCCCTCTTTCTGCTTCTGTGTATGAATTAGGGGTGTTCCTTCACAGCCAGAGGCAACTTATTTTAACCAGCACTCAGTTTAAAAAAACAAAAACAAAAACAAAAACACAAGCAAACAAATGAATAAGAGTAGCATCCCAGGAATAAAAATAAGCACCACCCAGGGCAGCACTGCTTGACATGGGCACGTCTCTGCCTCTAAGGAGTTCACAGGCCACAGGAATAGCTGACATTCGGGGAGCTGGAGCCAAGCCACCTGTATCGCCTTAACTATCGGGTGGTGGAAAAAGTCAGTGCATTTTTTCTGTTTTTCTATGTAAAAATGTATCATGACTTTTCTTTCTTTCTTTCTTTCTTTCTTTCTTTCTTTCTTTCTTTCTTTCTTTCTTTCTTTCTTTCTTTCTTTCTAAGGGCAGCAGGTGGCATGGTGATTAGGCAGTGGAGTCCCACACGGCTGACAGCAGTTGAGTCTTGGACCTGGCGGCTGCCTTTCTCACTGTCTCTCTCTCTCTGTCTCTCTCTGGTGAGCACATATGCCCTGTAGCACATTGGAAAATAATAATAATAAATAAAATAAATAATTCTTAAAAACATGCATACACATGCACAGATAAGAGAAGAGGAAAAGAAATAAAGCAGACGCGGTGCAAGGTTATCGTTTAGGGAATGCAGAAATTCCTGATAGAGTTGGTCTGCCAACTCTTCTGCAAGTCTGAAATGGGAAAGTCCTAAAAATAGAGATTTTTAGAAATAGAAAGCATCGCTGCACCAACTCCAATGACTACCCCATCATCGAACTCGGTACACAAGCCTAGGACACTGAAACGAAGGGCCTTCTAGTGCCTGGGAGACAGGGCCCTGCGCCTGCACCCTCCTGCTGGTGGTACCCACACTGGCTCTCAGTGTGCTTAGTCCCTTGCCTGTTGCCGCAAGGGTGGCAATGTTCTGATCAAAGTTATTCCATTGTTTTCTCCCTTTTCTGATAAAATGACTGCAGTAACTTCCCAAGAAAGCCCATCTGTGAAACACGGGCCTGTTTCCAAAATGCTCTGCCTACCTGGCAGCCCTGGAATATATTCCTTGGTGTTAACTCCTTGGATCCATTTCTCTCTCACTCAAAACCATTTAAGTACAGAGACCGTTTCTGGCTTGTCTATGAAATAGAGATTCTGTTCCCTGGTACCAATAGGTAGAATTCAAAAAAGAAAAATCAAAGTAACTTGATGCTTCCGGTCCTCATGGACAGGATGACCAGAAACCTGAAGCTTGTTCTTGGTCATGCTCTTTGCGTGAGTACTCAGTCAGGGTAAAAGCTTACCAAATTCCAGGCGGTTCTAGACCAGAATCTTGGAGCTTTTATCTTTCAGGCAAAGCAGGAAGCCTAAGCTTTCCTTCCTTGGTACTGTCCTCTTCCAGCACTCCGGGGGCTCTTGGGTGTGGCATTTCTGCTCCAGTATGGCACCACATGACAGCACGGGGTCCCAGGAGGCTGCCGAGGAGGCCCTGAGTGCCCTTTGTGAGATGCCCCAGCTCTGAGCTGCAGAGCTCACCTGCTGCCGAGGGTGCCGAGGGTGCATGCGCGCCAGGGGAGCTGCGCTTCCTTCTGGGACTAGGACGTGTCCCACTGGTCTCTGCCTGTGGCTCTCTGCTTTGTGACAAAATGTCGGCTGCTCACCCTGCTGTTGTGTGCCCCCTGCTGTCCCATCTCCTGTCCAGCCTCCTCCTTGCCTGGGCACAGGCTCTGCCTGAGAACTCTCGCTGTGAGCTGATGTGGTCTCTTCCTCCCTTCTGGCCAGAGCTCCCCAGAGCACGGCCTTTCTCATGACACCTTGCGTGAGGACCTTGGTCCCCTCTTTCTGCTTCTGTGTATGAATTAGGGGTGTTCCTTCACAGCCAGAGGCAACTTATTTTAACCAGCACTCAGTTTAAAAAAACAAAAACAAAAACAAAAACACAAGCAAACAAATGAATAAGAGTAGCATCCCAGGAATAAAAATAAGCACCACCCAGGGCAGCACTGCTTGACATGGGCACGTCTCTGCCTCTAAGGAGTTCACAGGCCACAGGAATAGCTGACATTCGGGGAGCTGGAGCCAAGCCACCTGTATCGCCTTAACTATCGGGTGGTGGAAAAAGTCAGTGCATTTTTTCTGTTTTTCTATGTAAAAATGTATCATGACTTTTCTTTCTTTCTTTCTTTCTTTCTTTCTTTCTTTCTTTCTTTCTTTCTTTCTTTCTTTCTTTCTTTCTTTCT